CTTTTAAAACCTAAAAATGAGAATGTGAAGAAAATTTGGTAGCAATTTATCAAATTGAATAATTATTTTATCTTGCCACTAAATTATCATGTAGTGTATTTCTGTTGCCTTTATTCATTACATGACATAATGAATATATTACCTAAATATTTATTAAAAATTCAAAAACATGGGTTTATGTATACATATAGCTCATATGAAAATAAATTATACTATCTAGATATTAGGAGCTCTTAATATAAAATAACCTGTAATAGCATATAGTTGTGTGTACATGTGTATAACCATAAAAAATATTAAGGTAAAATTTTCACTTTCCTAAATTTTATAATAAAGTGATAATAGACATGTCATATTGCAGAGTATCATTGCTTTAATATAGGAATCATGGTATAGTCTATTTTTGACATTCTGTGTTTTATGTTTTTTTATAGTCACTATTTTATACTTACATTCTTCCCTCTACCCTTCTCCATACCGTAAATAAATGTTGTGATTAAGAACAAATTGGCTTCTAAGTTTATGTACCTATAATATTTTTCTAAATAATGTGTTTCATTGAATATAAAAAGTTGATGGAGTATCTTTTTTTCTTTTATAGACTCTAAAGAAAATGAATGCTATGCTTGACAAACTGCCTCAAGATGACAAGAAAATATTCTCTAACCAAGAAATGTTAATTTTCATGTAATAATTTGTACTATATTGCTTTAATTAGTGGTTCAAGTCAAGAATTTAAAGGATGTTTTATAAGGCGATATGGCAATCATGAGTTGTATTAATAATTAAAACTGAAACTGTTTTAGATTTCTAATTTATGGATATACATTTTGCAAAAGCCTGTGAGTCACACTAGCAATTGTAAAGTAAAGTTTTTTAGTGAAGCTTTCCCTAAACATATGGGCTTTTTGTTTAATTGATACTAGTCTAGTATTTAATCTGTCATTTTGATTCACAGGAGTGGTATGGGAGAAAGAATGTTAAATGCTGGAGGTAAGTTTTTTTCAAAATGTCCATATTTGAAATTATTCTGAATTTATTAATAAAAAAATAATCTCTTTTTAGTCAAAATATATTCACGTAATGTAGTGAGATTATGGGAGGGGATTTTAAATTATGTACAATCAAGTAATTTTTTAATTAAGTAAATGATAACTATTTGTGGGATGAAATAATTATGACAATGGATTGTTAAATATAATTGGTAACTAATGGTAGATTTATGAGTAATAATTTAATTTTCCAATAGATTTGAACTACTTTTGCTAAGAAATTCCTCAAATGGTATTTTATGAAATTAGGAGGTTAAATATTCTTGGAATTGATAGATTTGTTTTTAAACAATGTGTTTATTAAAGAACTCAAATTTTCTTTCCTATTTCATATGAAAAAATTTTGATGTAGTGATTTACATATAGAATAAACCACTGGTTTAAAGTACATTGGAGTAACTGTAAATGTCATTACACAAAAGGAAAACAAAGATTTTGTGACTTATAGACTATTGTAAATATGAATTAATTTACAATTCACAACTCTAATAATAATGGAACGTCATAGTCTTTGAATATTTAGGAGTTTCATTTAAATGTCCTTAAAATTTTTATTTTCACTCCTATTAGTAAACTTGTTATTAGGGCTATATTTTTTTCTGTAATGATGAGCTAGTTCTAATTCATATAAAGAAAATGGCAAAAGATTAATAAATTACACTGATATTTTCCTTATTTCTCTTGTTTCCAATACCTTATAAAATATATTGACTATTATAAACTCTAATTTTTATAATTTCAAATAATACATTAGCTTTTCTTTTTTTTAAGATTATGATTTACAAGTAGGTATTGTAGAAGCTTTATGTAGAATGACCACAGAAAATGAAAGACAAGAACTGGCATGTCAGTGGTTTTCAATGGATTTTATTGCTAATGCATTTAAAGGAATTAAAGACTCTCAATTTGAAACAGTAAGTAGTATAAAAATAAATTAACAATAGTTTTTAAAAATTACTGTACTTTTTAAAAGTCTCTCTCTCTTTTTTGAATTAGGATTGCAGGACTTTTCTCAACTTTGTAAATGGCATGCTTGGAGACAAGAGAAGGTAAACTTGATGCAGGTTATTTACTCTGAGAAATGGGCATGGAAGGATAGGTAATGAAAAGTTTTATCACTTTTAATAATTACCGAAACACAGAGTATTTGCAGTGCCGTGCCTGGCACCTTGCAGATGGTCAGGACACATTGGACGGCTGAGTTCACACTGACTTTACTTACTAAGGAGGTGAAAGATAGGGTGAGGGTTAAGTGCAAGGATTTGAATCATGGGTTCCTCTCTTCCTGTTGTAACATTGGGAAAATTATTTAACCTTCACTTGCCTCAATTTCTTGAGCTATAAAATAAGAACACTGATAATGCCTACTACATATGTTTGTTGTGAAGATTAAATGAGATAATTATAGGCTAAGCACTTATAATCATATCTGACCAAGGAAGTACTCAATGAATTTAGCCATTTTTATTAGGAGTATTTACTTCTACTCTTCTTTTCCCATCTATGTCATAACCTCCATTGTATTAATAGTACGAGCTAAAAGAGGAATCTCTGCTCATGGTCAATAGCACACAGTAATATGTGCAATCACTTTAGTCAAAATGGTAGGTTGAGTAGTATCGTCAAAGTAATATGTTTTCTCTACAGAAACAAATTTACATTAAACTCTTATTTTAAAAAGTAATGAAGAAGGAGATATGATTTTATTGAAATTGTTATGGCCACTGCCTGGTTTTCTTTTGATCCTAGGTGTGATTTCTGGGACTAGCCAAGCTTATGCTGTGAAGGCTTGTTAATTTTTTTATTTAACTTAAACCACTTTTTATTTCAGGGTCTTTACGTTTCCTTGTTTATCAGTATTTCTTGATGAATATGAGGTAAGTTTTAAATTTAACATGTTTTAGTTACTGGATGAATTTTGATGCAAGGTTAAGTGAATTACATGTTACAAATTGGCAATAACATTAAAAATTGTTATAATTAGATCAAAAGTACAGCTGGTCTGTGATTCTGTATCTAAAAGATGTTTAATGACATGGCATGTTTGTAGCCAAGGATAAATGAACTATAAAGGCTATATATTTCAAATTCGCTTCTGTTTCCTTAATAAGCTCATTATTGAAATATCTTCAACCTTTATTTGCACTTGGAATATTTGTGATTTCTTGAAGCTAGCTACTTCAAGATACCAAGCAGCACTTTTTGTTTCTAAATTGATTTAAATGCTATACTTTTCTCCTCTGTCTTCCCTCACCAGCTATACTCTTTTAAAAAGAAAACTCAACCATGAATGTTACATGATCATAATTATCTGTTGTCACTTTTAAAAGCATAGGATATATTAGTTTTATATGTTTGTTTTATTAGCTGCAAACACCAGCAGATGAAAAACTTGAGGAATTTTGGATAGATTTTAATCTTGGGAGCCAGAGTTTATCATTCTACATTGCTGGAGATAATGATGTAAGTTTTACTCCCTCTGTACCATTTTCTATGTATGTGTATATAAATATAAAATGTCTTAAGAATGTATATTTCTTTGTATATTTATTTTTGTAGTTATTTTAATATTTTTCAATGTTACCCCAGTAATTTTAATTAGCATGATAACCTATCAAGCTAATTAGAAATAAAAACTATTTTTGATATTGTATTGCAACAGGAAAATTAATGCTAAATTTTAATAATAGTTTTTTAACATAGGCTTTTCAGAAAAAAATTACAAGTTAATGTCAGATAAAATTTCACATTTGCATGAATAAAGT